TGTTCAGCATCTTAGCTGTAGAGGGCAGTGTCACTGGCCCCCATATGTGGGATCCGAACCGGGGCCCTCTGGCGTCCCAAGCCAGTTCTTAACCATTGCGCCACTCGGCCGGCCCAGATATATTTTTTTCAATTACAGTTCACATTCAATATTATTTTATATTAGTTTTAGTTGTATACCATAGTGGTTAGACATTTATATAATTTACAGAGTGATTCCCCTGATTAGTTTAGTACCCACCTGGCACTATACATAGTTATTACAATATTATTGACAAATATTCCCTAGGCTGTACTTTACATCTACATGACTATTTTGTAAGTACCAATTTGTATTTCTTAATCCCTTCACCTTTTTCACCCAGTCCCCCAACCCCCCTCCCATCTGGCAACCATCGGTTTGTTCTCTGTATCTATGAGTCTGTTTCTGTTTTGTTTGTTCATTTATTTTATTCTTTAGATTCCCCATATAAGTGAGATCATATGGTATTTGTCTTTCTCTGTCTGACTTATTTCACTTAGCATGATACCTCTAGGTTCATCCATGTTGTCACAAATAGTAAGAGTTCATTCTTTTTTATGGTCAAGTAATATTCCATTGTAGGCATGTATCACACTTTCTTTATTCAATGGACTATTAATGGGCACTTAAGTTGCTTCCATATCTTGGCTATTGTAAATAATGTTGTAGTGAACACGGGGGAGCATATATCTTTGAATTAGTGTTTTGGATTTCTTCGGATAAATACCAAGAAGTGGAATTGCTAGGTCATAAGGTAGTTCTATTTTTAATTTTTTGATGAACCTCTATACTGTTTTTCCAAAGCAGCTGCACCAATTTGCAATCCCACCAACAGTACACAAGGGTTCCCTTCTCTCCACATTGCCAATTCTTGTTGTTTGTTGATTTATTGATGATAACCATCCTGACAAGTGTGAAGTAGTATCTCATTGTTTTAATTTATATTTCTCTGATGATTAGTGACATTGAATATCTTTTCATATTTCTATTGTTCATTTGTATATTCTCTTTGGAGAAATGTGTATCAGGTCCTCTGCTCATTTTTAAAATTGGATTGTTTTTTGGTGTTGAGTTGTATAAGCTCTTTACATATTTTGGATATTAACCCCTTATTGGATGTATCACTGGTGAATATTTTCTCCCATTCTGTAGGTTGTCTTTTCGTTTTGTTGATGGTTTCCTTTGCTGTGCAAAAACTTTTTAGTTTGATGTAGTCTCATTTGTTTATTTTTTTCTTTTGTTTCCCTTGCCCAAGGAGATATATCAGAAAAAAAATTACTAAGAATAATGTTAGAGTTTACTGCCTATGTTCATCTAGGAGTTTTATGGTTTCAATTTAAGTCTTTAACCCATTTTGAATTTATTCTTATATATGGTGTAAGAAGGTGGCCTAGTTTCATTTGTTCGCATGTATCTGTCCAGTTTTCCCAACACCATTTATTTAATAATTATCTTTACCCCATTGTATATTCTTACCTCCTTTGTCATAGATTAATTTACCAAACGGGTGTGGGTTTATTTCTGGGCTTTCTATTCTGTTCCATTGATCTATATGTCTGTTTTTATGTCAAGATGTTTTGATTACTATAACCTTGTACAGTTTGATATTAGGTAGCATGATACCTCCAACTTTGTTCTTCTTTCTCAAGATTGCTGTGGCTAGTCAGGGTATTTTATGGTTCCATATAAATTTTAGGATTATTTGTTCTAGTTCTGTAAGAAATGTCATTGGTATTTTGATGGAGATTGCACTGAATCTATAGATTGCTTTGGGTAGTATGGACATATTAGTGATGCTAATTCTTCCTGTCCATGAGCACAGTATATGCTTCCATTTATTTGTATCTTCTTCAATTTCTTTCCTCAATGTCTTATAATTTTCCGAGTACAGGTGTTTACCTCCTTGGTTAAATTTATCCCTAGGTATTTTATTTTTTTGGATGCAATTATAAATGAGATTGTTTCTTCATTTCTCTTTCTGATAGTTCTGATAGTTATTGGTATACAAAAAGGCAACCGATTTCTGAATATTAATTTTGTATCCTGCTACTTTACTGAATTCACTTACCAGTTCTAACGGTTTTTTTGTGGAATCTTTAGGGTTCTCTCTATGTAGTATCATGTTGTCTATATTATTTGCTGAATAAATGAATGTAAGGAACACAAGAGATCTTAAAACAACTATCCTTCACTCAGAAACCCAGAGAGATGGAGAGGATCCCTTAGGTAATGGCTCTCCATACTAAAGACCTCATTTCATGGTGGTTCACAATTTCTGAGCAGTAGAATTGCAGGTTTTCCCTGCTATCCAATAATAGAGTGTTCCTATGAAAATTTTCATAAGCCAAAATGGCCTAAAGCGAAGAACCAATCAGCATTAATTTATACGGAACAAATTTTTGAGCATCCCCATACCCTCCAAATAACCAAATCATATCAAAGAACACATAAAACCTAAAATAACACCAACATATAGTAAAAGCAGTGCCACTCTCACTGCTTGGAGCGCATGCTGCCTCTATAACAGCTTGTTGCAAAACAAATGCTAAATGCTCTTTTTTTTTTTTCTGTAAAAAGCCCAATCTCTTTGGATTCTTTTAGTTAGTGAAAACATGTACAGTAAATCCTCACTTAGTGACCTCGACTGGTTCTGCAACTTAAAGTGAAACGTATCCTAAGACCAATGTTATATAGGCTAATTGATACAAACAAGTGTTTAGTTCCTAAGGCATTTCATCATAATATCCAAACACGATGAATGAAACGATATTACTTGAGGACCTGCTGTACTAATATAGACCTTTCCTAGAAGTGAAATGTCCTAATGGAAATTTTTGAAAACCGAGGGATACCTGTAATGATCCTGGGTAGGTTATCTGAATTTTGATTTCCTAATGTGCAAAGTGGGGGAAATGCTTTCCACCTCATAGTGTTGTTATGGGAGTTGGTGAGAATGTAAGCAAATTTCCACCGCATAGAAGGCGCTAAATAAATGCTAGCAACTATTATTACTAAATTTTATTAATAGATTGATACACACTAGCCGTTGATCTAGTGTTCTTTCTACAATTAACTGGGATCCAGTAATGTAAATGCACTTCTTTAAAACGCATTTAAAGACCCCCCTAGAGACTCAGTCCAGTGCTTTTATCTGGTTCTGAGACATCAGCAATCTTAACTTGTAAGCGTTTGATACAGCCGAGTGTGGCGAGGCGGTCCAAGGTTCACTAACAATGCTGACCTGAGAGGTTTGTTTCCAGTGCCCTTTCATGCCCCTTTACCGACTGCAAAATGTCTCTCACCGAGCCTCCCACTGGCTTTTCTATGTCAAATCATGTTTACTAAGCTCTTAACTGCGTGCTGCGCACCTTGTCGGGAGCTGGAAGCGGGCGGGGCACAGACCCTTTTTCTGCTTTTTTGCGGCTTGAGAGCACTAAACCCTCTTCTCTGAGGAAGTACTGAACTAACTAGGTCTCATGCAATCACCCTACCCTCAAGATTAAAAGGGTAGCCCCAAATCTCAACACAAAAAGCCCTTAAACGGAAGCGAAGAGCAAAGCCCCTGGGTATCTGACCTTTCACCCCCCCCCCACACACCTTACTTCAGCTCACCAATTTTGACGCTAGCGAATGAAGCCACGCAGAGACCTGGAAGGCAGGACTTAGTGGTACCCTTTTCACGCTGATTGGATTGCGACGGCGTGAGGGGGCGGACCGCGTGAGCGGGCTAGAGACCCACCCTTGGTGGGCGGGGAGGAGTCGGGGTTGCGCTTGCGCATTGGAAGGCGGTAGCGTGTTCGAGGCGGGTACGCATGCGCAGTGGGCGGAGCTCGGTTCTTTTAATATTGCCAGCCCAGTTCTTCCCATCCTTGCCTAGCCGGTGCTTGTGTTTCCGCAGCTCATCGTGGATAGTCGCTGCCGAGTGGGCACTCGGTGTTCGGGTCGTCATGGCTGGTTACGAATACGTGAGCTCGGAGCAGCTGGCCGGCTTTGATAAGTACAAGGTAGTGCGGGCCCCGCAGACACCCCTCTCCCTCCTGGTCCCGGCCTCTCCCAGGCGGCTGAAGAGCTGGCGCGGTCCGTGTCACCTTGTGCCGCGTGGCTCCGGGCAGGTTGGAGGGCGTTTCTTCGGGGGTCCTGCCGAGTCCTGGGGCTCTGGGGTCGGGGTGCGTGGGAGCACCCTAGGCCCGCCGCCCCAACTCGGCACCCTCCCGGGGGATCGCCTTCGCAGACCGTTCAGTGAGAATGGAGCGACAGAATTCCCTTCGCTTCTTTACTTCATTCTTTATTATTATTTTTAGCGCCCTGAGAGGTGATACAACTCCCATCTGTGGTCTTAACTGTCTTCATTTTAATGAAGTTTCTATCCGCCTCTCCTGTATACAACTTCAGAGATGGAGATGGTCATTTAGCAGATGAGGCCCGGGGAGAGGGAGTGACTGCCGAGGCCATACTGCTGATGCATCCACTAATGCTCCTAGTAAAGAGGCTCCCTCAGCCGGAGTAGCTTGTGGCGCTTGGGCTGCCAGGCGAAGTAAATGTACGCAGCAAGGAACTAGGTAGTGGAAACACCGTGGGTTTGGGGGGTACATAGAAACCTGAAACGAAACCCGATACCAAAATCTAATTATTTGGCTTTGGACTCTACCGTTCAAAATGATTATAAAAATTTGAGAGGCACCTGACACAGAATGGGCCTCTAGTAAATGCTTAACTTTTCCTCCAAATCGGGTTCGCCTTCATCGCTCCCTTTGCAGTGAATGAGTTCTCTATCCATCCAGTTGTCCCAAGCGTGAAATCTGGGTAGTAAGTAACCTTTCATCCTTGCTGCCTGTGTGTGTCGCTTTCACTCTTGATTCCTCTACCCCACCCACCAGCCAGTGAATCATCAGGTGCTGTATGTATGTCCTATCATTTTTAGCCTAAACTAGAAGAGTGGTTTCATTACCACATATACTTCACGTAATCTTTTTGTTTTAGAAAATTTTAGCATAGATTTACAGAAAAACTGTGAAGATAGTACAGAGTTCCCGTATAGTCCACAACTTTTCCCTGTTATTAACGTCTTACATTAGCATGGTACCTTTGTCACAATTAATTAGCCATATATTTACATATTATTATTAACCGAAGTCCATACTTGATTCACATTTCCTTAGTTTTTCACCTAATGTTCTTTTTCTGTTCCAGGACACAAATTACGTTTAGTATTATGCCTCAGTCTCCCCTTGGCTATGAGAATTTCTCAGACTTTTCTTGTTTTTGTTAACCTTGATAGTTTTGAGGAGTTCTGGTCAGATATTTTGTAGAATGCCCCTTAATTGGGACTTGCTTGTTTTTCTCATGAGTAGATGAGGGTTATGGGTTATTGGGAGGAAGGCCACAGAGGTGAAGTGCCTTTCTCATTGTAGCATATGAAGAGTACATGCTGTCACCATTGATGTTGACTTTGATCACTTGACCGAGGTAGTGTTTGTCAGGTTTTCCCCCATAAAGTTACTGTCTTTGGAAGAAAGGTATTCTCTTTGGGAGGAAGTTACTATGCAGAGCCCACACCTAAGGAGTAAGAGTTATGTTCTGCCTTCTTGAGGGCAGAGTATACATAATTTATTTGGAATTCTGCATGGAAGGTTTGTCTTTTCTTCCCAAGGTATATTTATTTATACATTTAGTTATTTATATCAGTATGCACAGTATGAGTTCATGGATATTTATTTTATACTTTGGGTTATAATTCAGTACTACCACCCACATGTTGCTCACCCACACTCGCTTTTGCCCTTCTGGTCCTTTATGTTTCATAGTGATCTTTAAAAAAATAAACATCTGGTCACATCACTTCTTTACTTGAAATCCTCCACTGTCTTTGCATTGCTCTTGGAATGAAGTCCAGAAATTCATAACATGACCTACATGGTTCTGAAGATCTGGTCCTTGTGTATGTCACCAGCTTCACATCATGCCGCTCACTATCCGTCCCTCCCAGTCTTAGGAGCCATCTCTCCCTCCCTCCTTCCTTTTTTTCTTTTCAGATCTTCAAGTAATGTTATGTCTGCCAGGAATGTAGCTCCCTTTCCCATTTCATTCTTCTTCGTATCTTAAATGTTAATTCCTCAGAGAAGTGTTTCCTAACTACCACTTCCCACTTAAGTGTGCTCTTAGCACCCTCTGCTTCTTTATAGAATTCGTTTTTCAGTGTGTCTGCCCATTAGATTGTAAAGCCCAAGTGGTTAGACTTGTCTTTAGGACAACCGTGGCCTGAACACCGTGCTACTGTGCATACTAGACACCCAATAAACATTTGTGGAATGAATGAATAACTGAAAAAGTCATACTGGATTTTGTCTAACTGGAATTGGAAAAATTGTAAGGGACCATAGAACGTCATATAGTATATTCCTCTGCTTTCAAGTAATGTTGAGGTGCTGCTGACTTGTCTTAAAAGTGGAAAGAAGTATCCATAGAATAGCTGTTTCATTTATGGCACTGTCTATAATAAGGGATCTACTTTTTCTTATAAGTCTTTTTCTTATAAGTAGTCTTCTCTAGATTGATATTTCCAACTAGATAGGTGTCCTAATTTACAGGAAATTATGGTGCTTTTCTGTTCCTATTTTCCCCCCATTCTGTTATTTGACTCACTTCCTGTGTCTGACAGCAGATTTCCTATCATCCTGGAAAACAAAGGTCAGTTAAGCAACCCTCCAGTGTTTACTAAAATATAGTTTGTTGATGCTCTGTTGGTTATAATGAGGCTTCTTTTTTTAAAAAGGGTCAGGCACAAATTTATTTCTTCTTGTAGAGGGTTCCTTACTCAGTACTATGTTCGTATTAAAAAATAAGAATCCAAAGGCGTCTAAGGGGAAAATCTGTGTGGTCAGTTTCACTGGAATGTGAATCCCACCCAGAGACCTTTTCTTCTTGAAGCTCACACATTCCCATTGTGTGTCCTTTGACAGTAAGTGCTTTAAAAATGTTTATTGAATTAAAACAGCTTCACCCACACCCATAAATAGGTAAACACTCAAAGGAGTTTTTTAGTCCCTGATGTGACCCTGTATATTACAGCAATAAGATTTAGAAAACAATTGATACTATAAAAGCAGCTGGTGGAAAAATTACTTTTAAACTAGTTTAATTTCTTTGTCTTCCCTAGAGGTACATCTGAGAGCTACAGTTGGAAACCTGGCAGTTATTCAGAATAACTGCTGAAAGGGGTGACACGTAGAGTGGTCATTAGGTTTCTGTAGTAAGAAACTAATACAATTGATTTTCAGTACAGAAGTAAGCATGGGATGGATTCTGTTGTATGCTCTCTTAATACTTGTGTTCTCTGTTGTGTTACCACAATTTTCTTAAACAGTTAAATAATTAGTGTCTGCCCTCTCTGTTAGGATATGAGCTCTGGGTGGGCATGGCTTATAGGTAGGTGTCTTATTCATCACGACCAAGGTCTAGCACATGAACAGAGTAGGCACTCAACATGTATTTATTGAAGGAATGAAATGTAAAAGAATATAAACCATTTTGGAAGTATGGTAAAAGGGAGCTGTGTATCTCCTGCATATCAGAAAGATACTTTTGTATTTTGAACGTGAAGATGACAGGAGTTTAACTATCGTTGTTCTGTTACTTATAAATGTACCTTCCGACAATAAATTATGTTGAGGGATTTCACCCTCATAAGGCTTATTCCTCCCTCTACCTATCCTTTCTTTGGACAGGTCTGGCAACTTAAGGGTGGCAACTTAATGGACAGGTCTTTGTAGTTGAAGGATTTTCCCACTTACCTAAGGGTGAAACTTCTATTGTGGTTTGCCTAATCAGACCTACGGAAAGGGAAAGCATAGTTTTAATTGATACTGTAGCAGCTCGTTTCAAATGGTATCATTTTGCTTCAGAGAGGAAGTGTTCTATGAAACACTCTTGTTCGGGTTCCAAGAATATAATGTTATGATGAGTTGGTTTCTACTGTTATGGTAGGTAATTAACTTGGCTGTCAATAGCAAGCTGGTTATAGGAATAGTGATCATTGTGAATTCATTAGTGTTGCAATTAAGGATGTAAAGAGAGGCTGTGCATCTTGATGGTAATGCTCAAGAACTAGAAACTGGCCTTCACCCTTACTGGTTCATACAGTTTGATTTTGTTTATTCAGTTAGCATTTATTGAATACTCACTCTGTGTCAGGTATAGCATTGGGGCTGCAAAAATTAAGCTAGGCTAAAATTCCTGCCGTCAAGGGACCCAGTTTGGTGGCTTATGGACAAGTAAATAGTTATATATAGTTAATAAATGCAGTCAGGTAAGTGCTGGGTGCTGGGAAAGGAGAAGGATGCGGCCCCGGGTAGTGAGGGTTAGAGCTCAGAGAGGAGAGGGAAGGGAACACAGCTTAGTGTAGAAAGATGAAGGCTGAGTAGGCCCCAATATTACCAAGTAAAGAGGGGGGAAAAGCCCCTACAGAACAAGGCAGCAACACAAAGGGGTGCAAAGGGGTAGAGGCCTGAGAGAATATTTTCTGGGAACCACAAGAAGTTAGCTGTTGAGGCATAATGGTGGCGTAGCAGATGAGACTGGAAAGGGAGCAGGGCCCTGAAAGAGGGGGATGATTTGATGTAAACATCAAATTCTGGATTTTACCCTGTAGATCAATGTTTCTATTGTCCAAGGACTAGCATCAGCATTCCGTGGGGAAAGTGTTTAAATAGCAGATTCTTAGGCCCACTTTGGCAGATTCCAATTAGTTAGGTTGCCATTATCTGCACGTTAAACAAATACCACAGGTGGTTCTCAGGTACTCTGTAGTGCTACAGGTTTTGGGGAGGCACTTAGGAGTTTTAAACAAGATCAGATTTTAATTTTAGGAAGCTCACCCTAGCAACTTGTAAAAAATATGGTGGTTGGAGGTAAGGGCGATCTGGAGACCTCTTAGGATCCTCCTGCATAAAGCTAGGTAAGAGATGAGGGAGGCCTGGATCTAAGCAGTGGGCTTTGAAGGGGAGTT